AAGAACGGATTAAGCAATATTACATAAAGGAAGGGAAACGTATCAATTCTTTAAAATATGGGCTTGCCAACTATTTGGAGGATAGGTTACGGGGTTGTTATGCGAGGGGGGCGGTGGCGGGCACTTATCCAATGGATGATATTATAGCAATTAAAGGGAGGCTGCGTGAGGTACAGGATGAGAGGTTCCAAGCGGTGCGGGTACAGGCGGGGGTGGAAGAGGTGTTATGGGGCGATAGACCTTCATCTTGCGTATTGCATAGGCAGAGACAAAGACAGCAGGCAATGACTATACCATGGTTGGAGGTTCATGAGTCGATAGGAGGGTACAGGGAGGGGCAGGTCATACAAGCTATGGAAGGAATGGGGGCGTTTGCTGATAAGTGGTATGAGAAGTACTGGCAACGAGAAGGGGTAGAGGATGGGGTTTCAGAACAGGTGTGTGGGAGTGTGGTATGTCAGTTGCGTAACAGTGATAGGGAAGCACTGGGTGGGGAAATAACTGAGGGGGAAAAAATGGAGGGCTTTAAGTGGAATGCGAAAGGGCAAAGCACCGGGAATTTGGACTCCCGGCAGAGTTTTATCGCAGCATTGGAATTAATGAGCATTTTTTGGTTAGTTATTAAATTGCATGAAGGAAGAGTTGAGCTGGGTGAGAAGCAGGCAACGGCTGTCGTTGTATTGGTACGAGGGTAAGGGGCAGCATAAGCTTCGGGATTACGGGCGGTCTCGTTGTTATGCGCGTTACAATTGTTTGCGAAGATTTTGGGAAACGGGTCAAGTGTGTGGTGGGGCGGGTAGTATCAAAACTCAGTTTTGGTTTGCCAGGGGGTCTATGGTGGAGGGCATGGGTTACTTAGGATTTCGTGGAGGCAAAGGGGGGGAGGGAGGGGAGGTTGGGCGCTTATTGGGAAGGGCATACGATAGAGTGGATCGGAAAGCATTGAAAGCCATCCTCAGGGGTCAGGGGTTTGGGGAAGAAATAGTGGGTTGGGTTGAGGCGTTGTATGGAGGTGCAATGGCGAGGGTACAGATTAATGGTCGATTGGGTGGGAAGATTGTAATGGGTAGGGGACTTAGGCAGGGGTGTCCTATGTCACAATTATTGTTTGCGTGCATGCAGGACCCCTTTTATAGATTGGTGGAGCAGCGTATGTGTCACGTAGAGGGACCAGGGTGTGAGGTTGCGAGGGTTTGGCCAGTTTTAATTGGGTATGTGGATGATACAACTGTTCTGATCAGGAAGGGGATGTCAATGGACACATTAGATGGGGTAGTACGAATGTTCGCAGGGGCAACTGGTATGAGGGTAAATTCAGATAAATCCATGTTTATGGGGTTAGGAGCTTGGGCAGAAAGGGTTGATTGGGGTAATGCAGTTGTGAGGAGGCAGTTGAATTCGTTAAAAATTTGCGGTCTTATTTATGCAGACGATCTAACTGTGGCATGCATGGAAAACTCGATTAGGATGGTAGACAGGATTCAGGGACGCTTGGGTGCATTGCGACCTTATCATTTGACCCTTGTGCAGCGTGCCATTGTTATTAATATCTTGCTGTATAGCAAAGTATGGCACGTGGCAGCCGTGTTCCCATTAACTGGGCCGACAATAACTAACATACTTAGGAAGGTTTTTAAATTCTTGTGGGGTTCGAGCTGTGATTGGATTAAAAGGGACGTGGTAATGTTACCTGTAAGTCAGGGGGGGTTGGGATTGCTGGACTTAAAGCAGAGGGTCAAATGTGTCTTCATTAAAAGGGAGGTGATGAGGGAAAGTGTGGGTGGGGGGGGTTTGGCCAGGATCCATAACAGATTGCAACGGATGTATACAGGAGTTGAGTTGCATGAGTGTGAAACTGTGTTGAGGGCTCTGGCGTGGGATCGAGAGCCAGCAAAGGTTAAAATACGTATGTTGTGTAGATTGTTAGCCAGGAGGGTTGTAGCGCCTGTAGAGGGAATTTTCCCCATGTATGCATGGGGAAGTATATGAAATAGGTTGAGTAGGATGAGGTTGCAACCTCGTGTTCGGGATGTAATGTATCGTTTTCTGCACGGCATTTTACCGTCGGGTGTGGTTCTACGGGATAGACGAGTCGTTGACGGGGGGGAGTGCGAGATGTGTGGTGGGGAGGAGTCGGCTTTTCATGTAGTATATTTTTGTGACGGACTGAGGAGTGTCAAGGGGTGGTTAAATAGGGTGATAAATAGGATAGGAGGTCAAGGAATTTCTGCATTGAGAGCATTAAGTCTCGACATTGGGGGTTGGGAGGAAAGTGTAATCAGAGCTGTGGGGTACATTATGGCAGATTATATATATATAGTGTGGGGATTGCGGGGGGAAACGGGTTAGTGAGGTGAAGAGGAGGGTGTTAGCGGTAACGTTCTATAAAACGGTATGTAGAAATAAGGAAATTTATGGGAGGAGGTGGGTGAGGGATTTTTCAGAGGGATATAGGCAACTTCCGTTACAGGTTTTATTAGACTTGTAATATACAAGGGAGGGGAGGGTATGATTGGAAAGTGTTGCTGGGGTAGGGAAGTCATGGGTGAAAACAGGGTCGCCTCCCTGGTAATGGATGACAACAAATGTTTGTGTGTGTGTTGGATGAGTGATGCGTGAGTGAATAATGTATGGACCAAGGGTGCTAGCACCTGTGGAGCTGGCCAGTTTTTTGTGTCATGGGCTCTGGTGGTTAACGCTCTCGCTTCACACGGTGAGGGCCTGGGTTCGATTCCCAGCCAGAGTAGAAACACTGGACGTGTTTCTTTCAACCTGTTGTCTATGTTCCCCATCAGTAAAATGGGTACCTGGGTGTTATTCGACTGGTGTGGGTCGCATCCTGGGACACTGACCTAAGGAGGCCTGGTCACAGACCGGGCCGCGGGGGCGTTGACCCCCGGAACTCTCTCCAGGTATCTCCAGGACTATACACTATTCATATAGTACTCATGTTCCTTCAAGGTAGTAGTGAATGATGGATAAGGTATTCAAGGGGGGGGGGGTTGCCTACATCACTGTGCAGAGTGAGGGTAGGGCAGTATATTGATTGGAAGTGATGGACAGTTGCTTGTCCAGTGTGTCGTAGTATTGTGTAGATAATACGCACATTATTGTATGTAGCAAGATGGGACTACACGCAAGTTGGACTTGGACTTGTACTATGAGAATTACTCTCTAACGCCTAATATGTGAAGGTGACGTGTACTTAGCTCAGTGGTGACGTGTACTTAGTTCAGTGGTGACGTGTACTTAGCTCAGTGGTGACGAGTACTTAGCTCAGTGGTGACATGTACTTAGCTCAGTGGTGACGTGTACTTAGCTCAGTGGTGACGTTTACTTAGCTCAGTGGTGACGTGTACTTAGCTCAGTGGTGACGTGTACTTAGCTCTGTGAAGACCTGTTTGCGCGCTCTCTACGAATTGAAGCAAGATGCCCTCCATCGAGCAACTTTGCCAACAGCTTAAGGAAAAATTGAGGATGGCGAAGATGGAGATTCAGCGACTGACCGAGCAAAACAAGAAGATTCGTAGTAGTCCTCCTGTTTTGAGTCCTCAGGTCAAGAAGGGAAACTGGTCAGTGGCTGGACAGCAGGGAACGAAGTTGACGATCAAGAAGACGAATGGAAAGGTAGAAACGATGAAGAAGAAAGAGACTGCCGTGGAAACTGTTGTGGAAACATCTAATACATTCTCAGTGCTACCCGACGAATGTGAGTCAATTACTGGGAACGTCACGATGATAAACATTAAAGAAGGTAAGAATATTGTTGTTGTTGGGGATAGCCAAGTTAGGTATATGGATAGGGCGTTCTGCTTGAAGGACAGGAGTAGGAGACAGAGAGTTTGCTTTCCTGGGCTGGGATGGAGGATATTGTTAGCCGTCTGGACGACATCATGAGAGGTAATGGGAGCAATCCTATTATCTGTCTCAGTGCTGGAGGCAACGATGTTGGCAGACGTAGGAGTGAAGACCTGATTAGCAGGTATAGGTCAGCAATAGAAATAATTAGGAGTAAGGGTGGGAACCCTGTCATATGTGGTATTTTGCCGAGGAGAGGAGATGGAAATGAATGGTTGTCCAGGGCAATTGGTGTCAATTGCTGGCTGGACAAATACTGTAAGGAAAAAAGGGGGTAACATTCATTGACAACTGGGACCTCTTCTATGGCAGAAATGACATGTATGCCAGGGAAGGGGTTCACTTATCTAGGTCTGGGGTGGTAGCACTGGCAACTGCAGTGGAGGGAGCAGTTAGGACTTTAAAAATAGGGATAGTTAGTGGTATGGGTTTTGGCAGGAAAACAGTGAAGTCCCAGTGTAGTAATATTACGAGTTCTAGTGGAACTAGTAAAAAGCAGAACGAGGTAGATATTGAAAAGCCAGGGACTTTTGGGTGATAAGGACAGTAAAGGTTTATAGAAAAAAAGAAATGACAGGAAGGTAAAGAGAAAGGAGAGCTTTTTATTTTTTTTATCTAATTGCCCTATGC